TGTCAGAGCAAGCTGAGCCGTGGCAAGAGATGGAGCTTCACAGATTCTCCTAGCTCTGCTAGAAGACAAGGTTCGGACTCTTCAGTTAGCCAGAAAGGTTTCACTGAGTGACCATAATGTAGTCTCTGTTTCTCAGCCTAACCTTCCTCAGAGACTGTATGGATAAAATGGATGAGTGAGGGAAAGAACCAGATATACTCCTCCTAGTTCTGTTGTTTTAAACAGAATAAATAACAATGGCTGCATTTCCCTGCTTTCTTATGCAAATGTGTAAAAGGCTTCAGTTTTTGCAGATCCAGGAGAGGAAGAGCTATGTAGAATCATTCAGTGTGACCAAGGGCAATATATTCAACCTCCTTCTCTGGTTTCATTAGATTTAAGCAGGCATTGCCCACATGTTTTTGGGTATAAGTTTGCAACCATGAGGGCTAGGAACCTGACGAAACCTGAAAGCCAGCTTTCCTTTGGAAGCTGCATTCCACAATCAACACCATGGTTTTTCTGCCCTTATGGTCATTCAGATGCGGGGGAGGGAGCTACTGCATGGAGTGGAAAGACTTTCAAATCCAGGTTACATTACTTCATCTTCACTATGTGATGGTGTGCAAAGCAGTTATGGGAACACTCTGGTTTTTGCTGTCTCCTTTTCTCTTTTTTCTTATGGCTGTAAACTATGGTCTCCGTTGCATGGAGATATCCGGTATTGTTAGCTAGACCTGAGAACTGTGATTTTAAGGCTGCTCACCATCAGAGAATCCTATCCAAGCTGCTTGCCCAGAAATCTTTGGATATTTGCCACAGAAGTCCTGGGCGTTGTAGTAGAGAATCCTGGGACATGTTTTTAAGTGCTTACTCTGTTTGGACTCTGTTCTGGCCGTGTCTTTTGGGACTCTGTGCTGCCCTCCTGCAAAGCAAGAGGTGGGGGTGGGGGGAGGGAGAAATTCCAGCATATGAAGCCAGATTTTTGAAGTTTGCAAAAGAAAGATGTACATTTGTTCTTCCAATAGATATCCAGCATAAATTCTTCTTAAGACATGCATGTCACTAGACGTGACACCAGTTACATCACATCACTGGAGCCAGGTTTGCAAAGCACAGAGAAAACGCCAGGAGGCAACCGGGGCTGTTGCTGAATGTTTAAACACCAGTGACTCATCTCTTGCGCTCAAACGGGTGACTTTAACTGTCCTGCATTTCCCTATAGTGGAGCAAGGCCAAGACCTGCTTGTCAGTGGTGCTTCAAAGATCGAAAACACGGCAAGGAATTAACTTTCTCAGCAGGAATGTCTATAATTGGACTGCTGTAATTGGATGTGTTTCCCAGCAAGTGCGCCTTTCAGTGCACCCCCTAGTAAAGTACAGCTGCAACGTGGACTCGTTCTGTTACTCTTTTCTTCACTCAAGATGCAAAGCATCCCGTTCCTGTTTCTAGAGGATTAGCAACAATACCCTTCACACAAGGGAAAAGAATGATTAGAGCTCACTCCCTGAAACACCCTTCCCCAGCCTGATGCCCTCCAAACAAATATGACTACACATCCTATCACTCCCAGCCAGCAACGTTCTCCCCTCCTTAATTACCTCTGCAGCAGCAGCAGCAGCACCCCTGTGTCAGGCTCACTGCTGTTTCATGCTTACACAGTCACCTGCAGTTTTTGTAGACACAGAAAACAGGAAGCAGATGAAATCTCTGTGTGGCACATCCTCTTGAACGATGGCTTGGATGAACTATTTTTACATGTCATTGCATATGTTTTACGAGTGCAGAGACAGTCCACAGGCGAATTCAGTACCTGCCTCTTTTTGCAACCAATGCGTACATTTCTAAAGCACATCTTTGACATGTTATGTAAAAATGTAATTGATGTAGCTCCATTAGGGATCTCATTTCTGTTGCTTTGGTTTGATCCTTTGTATAAACAAGAGACTAGATCTCATGGTGGCATTTTGCTGCCGTTTCTTATATTTGTTTGCTGAATGTTCTTATTTTTGCTCACTGAGTTCAAATTGTGTTTCTAAAAACAAAATGCAAACACACCGGCTGTCTTGTGATTCCATTCTTGGACTGCTTGTTTAATGTACAGCTGTCGCTCTCCTCTGGAAGGCCGTAGAAAAGAAGATGAGTTGCTTGTGCGTATCAAACAACACTCTTCCCCCAAATACATGACTACATAGCACTGTGCTTTGGAATGAATAAAGGATTTGGTGAAGATGCTGGCAGGAGAGACACTAAGGAAACGTGTGACAGCGTGAACGTGTGATCGCTGTGGAAACACACGCATGTGGCATCTGGGACTTCTGTATCCGAACGGTACCACTCCAGACTGTAGATGGGGGTCTTCCCTCATCAAATGCTCCTTCATTCAAAAACAAACCAAGGCCTTCATGAAGGAGGCACCCATGTTGTGTGGAAAGAGCTTTGAGAGAATCCTGACTAGACAGACCTTCCGAGCATGATGGAAGTGGCTGGGATTTGCATTTGCCACGGGATGCAGCCCGTTCAAGTACATGCAGGCCAAAATCCCGAACACACTGCCTTCTGTGTGAGCTTGCATGGGATTGCTCCGAGAGAGGGGGTGTCTCTTTGCTTCTTCTGCATGGTTTTTTCTCCATTCTGTCATGAAATCTGCCTGGAATCTTAACTGGGACAACCAAAGCTATCTTAACTGGGACAACCAAAGCTATCTTAACTGGGACAACCAAAGCACCAGGTTTCATGCCAACCAAGAAAACAAAGTGCAATGAAGCACGCTTTACTAAGCTGGCAACTCTTACCACGGAGAAGAAGAGGACAAGATATTTTGCCCACTGATCTGAGAGACAGTAGAAAATCCCCAAATGTGAGTGCAATAATCTGTATACAGATGTTCAGCTGAGCTTGAGGGGTCAGCAACTGCAGGCCAAAGGGCCAAGTCAGACCCCAGCTCACAGGGATGCTACCAGGCTCCTTGGCGGTCCAGCAGAGGCAAAATAATCTTTTTGCTAGCAAGGTGTGACAGCCATGCCTCCCCTTTCCTTTCTCAACCCTCCCAACCCCCCCCCCCCCCAAATGGTCAACCAGAGGCATGGATGCCCTTGCATAGTGCTAGGCCAGGTGTGCGCTGAGCACGGTGTGCGGTGTTGTGTCCTGCCAAAGCTCTTCAGGCTCTTCTGTCCAAACAAGCCTGCTTTCTTATTCTGTCGTCCGTGGACTTGCCAAGAAAAGAAATGCTGTGCACTGTCTTCCGGCAGGTCTGATTTCTTTCATGATGAATTTTGCGAGCTGGCCATCTTGCATGTAGTCTCAGTGGCAGAGCCAGCGTGCCGTTCCGTGCTGGTTTCTGTGGGGAGCAATGCACCTGTAGCCACCCTGTCCTGCTCCTCGGGTGCCTCCTACACGTCCGGCTGCTGCCATGGGAGACACTGACCCTGCCAGGCTTTTCTGATGTCCCTTTGTAGAGTTCTCACTTGAGCCTGTTCAGATATATTTATTTCTTGTGCCTGTTCTGTGCCTCCCCTTCATTCAGGGCGGAATTTCAGAAACACGCCCATCATGATGGGCCCGTCTTCATCTTACTGGCAAACCTTGCTTTGTTGGCTGAGCTACGATGGGCACCTTGGCAAGGAACCCTCTTCTCTCAGGGATTCAAACCTTGTTGCCCTGCTCAGTAGCCTCAGTCGCTCACCCTTGCCTTCCAGCATGGCTGCCACTGGCCGCTCCTCCTCTTTCTCATCGCAGCCATAGTCGTGGCCAAAACAAGAAGCAGGCGAACACACACGAGTGCAGAGCAGAAGAGAAGAAGCAAGTCCGGGGGTTCTGCTTAGCTGGCCCTGCTAGAGCACGGACCGCATATCAAACCAGGCCTGTCTTCAGTGCCAGCCTGGAATTTGGAAAACCCCACTGCCCGGTGTTGTGTGGAGTATCAGCCAGTCAAGGAACTGCGTGGCAAAACCTTCCAAATATTGCTCGATTCTAATTAGCTTTTAAATGGTGCCAGAAAAACAATCACAGCTTTCTTTTTTCACTGTCCCTTCTGCTTCTGGTCCCAAGGCAACTTTGAAAATTTCTGTCTACTCCACGCTTTTTCCAAGCAGGGAGAGAATCCCTCAGGCGTGTCTCTGCTCTCCAAAGGCCTTTGCGTCAAAAGTGCTAATGCACATGTGTTACTGCTGTAAACATAACTGAGAGTTTAGAACAGGCTGTGGTATGTGGATGCCAGACCACATTTGTATTTGGTTTATATACCGAAGTTGGCTGTGTAGAAGCAAGACTGAGAAAGTATGCAAAGACCCATTTGGATTTTCAAATAGATAACTAAATGGCATTCTTTTAGAAAGAGGAATTTTCAAAAAGCTCCCAGAATAGAGTAATAAATCCTTTTGAATAACCCTGGAACATGTCTTCTTGAAATATAGTTTTCATGATCATATTAGAGCATGCTTTATAGCTCCATTACTTATTTTGCTGTCTGGAAGGACAGTTAGATTTTATCTTTTGCATTTTCTGGCTTGCAGAAATAAGGTTGAACCAGAAACAAACAGCAAAATAAGTTGTTGCAGCTGTAAAGGTAAGATCACAATTAATTAATGTGTGACAGTGATGGGAAATAAATTGTATGGACACTGTTTATAACATCATCAAATCGGCTGCTATTTTTCTGCATGTCTGTTTAGTCTGTAATTCATCTCTCCGTGATAAACTGCCTTATGCCATTCTGTTCTGTTTTCCTATGTAACAACTTATTCTTGTTTTACCGTTTTGCACCAATAGCTGTTTCCATGTGCTCATCCGTGGAAAGGCTAAATCAAGGGTGGGTAACATGCAGCTCCTGTGGGCTCAAAGTGCAGCCCACCCCCCAATTCCTGTTCCTGCCCCTGCACTGCTGAAATCCATTAATGCAGCAGCAAAGAGCCAAATTTGGTGCCAAGGGTTCCCAGAAGGCTCAAAGTGGCCTTCCCCTGGACTAAATAAACGCACGCAGAAGCAATTTTAACATGCATTTCTTTTTAAACTATTGTAGGGTGAAGGCTGCCGTACCGTTCCTCTTTCTGGCCACGTAGGATTTGATAGCCTGCCTGATCAGCTGGTTAATAAGTCAGTTGGCCACGGTTTCTGTTTCAACATCCTGTGTGTGGGTGAGTACTGTGTTTTTCCTTCTTCCTTTCTTTTGTTTTCTTTTCCATTTTTGGAAAATTCTATTGCTGAATGAGGGCTCTTGATGCCTCTCAACTTCCCATGTAGGTAAGAAGGGCTAACAAAATAATCATTTGACTCAACTGGAATGCACAGTTGGGCTGTGTTTATTGTCTGATCCAATTTTAAGGCAGAAAAATAAGATTTGCTGCCTCTTTGGGTGGTCTGAACAGGAAGGGGTAAGATGAGCACTTTGTAGGACACAGCTGTGCCAAAGCAGCAGACGAAGCCTAGCCATTCAGACTGGGGACCTGTGCCATTCTCTGACTTAAAGCTGGAAGATCCAGGCCAAGGTCTTGGATGGAAAATATGCTGGGTAATAATTATGCCGGAAAGAAAAGAAATCCAGAAGCCATGCCAGGTGGGCTTCTGGTTCTGCAGGTTTGTCTGCTCTCTCCTTCAGAACCTCAGGTCTGTGGATCAAATTTGGCCCACCTGGTGTTCTAGGCCAACCTTTTGCAGTTGCCAGAAGGCTGTGCCCAACTCCCTTTCTCCGAATCCCCAGTCACAGGGCAGTTTCCTGGCTTTTGCTCGTCTTTTTTCCATTCTTAAAGGCCTTGCCAATAAGATATGCCAGTATTTTTGGTGTACTGGCTTCCACCTCCTTGGTCCTTTGATTTTATCCCTGTCCACCACTGGAATGCAGCTCCTGACAGGTTCTTCAAAATGGATGTTGGCCTCCGAGCGGGAAAAGATTTTCTCTGCATGCCCTAGATCTTGTGGCTGGCTGCCCAGCTCCATGAGGCTGTGAGATCTGAAGTGCTGCCTTAGACAGTTGCTGGAGCATGGGGGAAGGAGTTCATGGAAGAAGGCAGCAAACTGCCCAGAGTTCTTCGGCTGTTGGTTGATAGAGAAATGTAATATATGCTGGAAGCCAGTATGGTGTAGTGGTTAGAATACTGGACTGAGTCTCAGGGGGTCCGGGTTCTAGTCCCCACTGGGCCTCAAAGTTCACTGTGTGACTTTGGTCCAATCAATGACGTTCAGCCCGACCCACCTTACAAGACGGCCGTAATGACAAAACAGAGATGAATATGACATAAGCCACCTTGGGTTCTTTGCAGGGAAAAGGCCAGACACAAGTAGAATAAATCAATGTAAGCACATTAAGGTATCCAGATAGACCCCAAGCTGTTCGGGCCTTTAAAATTTAGCAATAGCACCTTGAACGGAAAATAGTGGCGGTGCAAGAAACAATGTAAACGGGCCATGGCATGCGCAAAACACCCAATTCCAAGCAGCAGCTTTGCTCGTGCATTTTGCATGACTTGATGCCTCTGGAATTAAGCACATACTTGTGTTTTGTCCGCTCTTCGCACCCTGCTTCTTTGCTTGTCTGTCTGTCTGTCTGTCTGTCTCTCTCTCTCTCTCTATAATTCCTCCACACCCCATTATAGAATTAATTCTGACACAGAATTAGTCTTCAGACAGAGGGGATTCATTCTCCAGTTTCTATCATGCCACAGGCATTCACAAACGGGAAAGGAGTCAGAAATGCTGTTCTGGGTGTGCCCAGATAGCAACACCAAGAGGTGTGTGCTGGGATTTCTATCATCATCAGTAGCTCCCAATTTTAATCAAGGAGAAAGCCTGAGGGGGGAGGTGGTTAGTCCTCTTCCTGGGCTACCTTCCTTGTCGCCATGTGCCCTGGGCCAGTCACTTTGGCTCAGTTTAGCCTACCTTGCCAGGTTGTTGGGCGTTATCAGGGGCTCGGCCAGGCGCAGAGAAGAAATCTGCCCTTTCTGGGTTTCCGATATGGACCTTCCTGAGATGGCCATGCCCCTTCCCCAGTCCCACTGCCTTCCCCTCCCCAGCACCAATGTTTTAATAGCTTCCTTGCTTTTGTGCAATGTTTTCCCCATTCCAAAAGGTTGGGATACCACTGCTTTGCCTTCGTTAACAGCTTTGGATGGTCATTTTTTGGTATTTTTGGCTCCACCCAGGGCAGGAACATCTTGGCTCCTAGGGAACATCCCACAAATTGAATTCTGCCCTCAGGCTTAAAGGAGGAGCAGCATCCGGGATTAGGCAGCATCAATTGGTGCTGAGGTTCTCCTTTATTCTGGCTTGCTTTCCGATAGTTTCCTCCTTTGGCTGCGACGGCTCAGTGGCACAGAGACCGAATCCCTGGCCACAGTGGGCTTGCCCGCCCGTCCACATACCAAAAACCTTCCTTTCCTTTTTTCACTTGGGGCTGCTGATGTCATAGTTCTTTTCACTTGGTTATAGATGACCTCCACTAATGAAACAAACATTGTACAGTAAGGCCAGTCTGAAAAAACCATTTCCACACTTTTATTTTTTATTTCTTTATTTTTTTGAAGTCATAAGTTACCTTTGAGGGAATTTAGGAAAAAAGGTTAATGCTTTCTTTCCTGAATCAACATGCATATGGTTTATTGACATTTTACCAACAAAGGGCGTAGAGAGAATATCAGAGTACTTCAAAGTAGGAGCTTTTACAACTCAGAGTGGAAAGAACTCTCTGTACGTAAAACTGAAAGCAAAACTGGGTAACTTGCTACCTTGTTGAAAGCTTGGATATTCTCTGAGGCCCAGGGAAGATATAACACCTAACCATGATTAAGGAACAAACTAAGATTAAACATTATGTCTGAATAGCTCAACAATATTTAAACATGAGTGACAAGGTGTTATGCCATGGCATGATGCAGTGTTGCAAACCATGGTTTGTGTTAAGCATTCCGTTTCCTTGGGCACACCCCAATTAAATCAGTTTTCCTGACAGTCTGGTCTGCTTACAAGGTAACACATGTTGCTGATGATGCCTGCAGGGCAGGCCTTAATTTAGTAAAGTCAGCCATGGTGGCACGGCCCACGGAGGACTTTGATCAGGGATGATATGGCAAACCATGGTTCGGCTAACCGAGGCTGAGTGCTCTTTCCCTACTGGGTCCCATAGATTCCTTGAATGCAGCTTGGGCAATGTCTGGCTGCCTTCCAGTTCAGTGAATCATTTCGATAAACATTTTACTGCCTGGCACATTTTCCACTGCACTGCCTGCCTTGCTCAGTGCCTTTTGGACGTGACCGAAAGCCGAAGGGAGTTGACAGCTGAGCTTCCACTATCACCTTTGGTGGATGCCAGAGCAAACCGCTGTTACACTAGCCTGGAATTTCGCTATAGGCTGAAGCGGTGCCCCTGGAGGCGATTTAATAAATACAAGGCTGTCTGTTCTGACACTGCTGTATCAAGACCAGGGAGGGCCTGCCATGGCCCTCAACGCAATAACTTGATCTTAGGAGTCATCTGTGAAGGGATGGGAGAGAAGCGCACTCTAAAATGAATGCATAGCACTTGTGTGTTCAAAGCATTTTGCATAGGTGATATTTACGATCCATGTTGCGCTGCAGGAATTCAGGGCAGCTCTTAGGATATCCACTTTGCAGATGGATGCCTGAAGCTGAGAACAGGTGAGGTGAGCTTGCTTAAGGCCATAGAGCAGTGCTTAGGAGATGACTTGGCAGAACAAACCTAGTTTCACATCCCTGCTCAGCCACGAAGTCCACCAGCTGCTCCAGGGCCAATCACTTTATCCCCGCCTAACCTACCTTGCAATCTTTTGGTGATAACCAAGCATGCCCCTATAAACCCCTTGGATGGGATAGAAGTCTAAGAAATAAGTGACATTTAAACCCAGGGTGGTCTTGGTCTCTTTTGCTCTCCCTTTTTCACAATAACGGCATGAGTTTTCATGAGCTTTAAAAACAGCCTTTGTATAGATCATCATGTCTCTTTCCCCCATTGTTTGTATTACAAGGCATGACCCCAATTATGGATGTGTTTAGTTATCCAAAACAGCTACCCCTGACTGTGTCAATGGAGTGCTTTGATGCTGTTTTTCCATATTGAAATGTTTCCGATTTAATAATTAGATGCATTCTGCTTGCTCATCAGAACTCAGAGGCTGATATATACAAAGCCCTGCCCTTGTTTGCTTTCCTTCTTTTAACATTTGGGTTTGGCAAAGAGTTCCTAGCCTTGGAAAGCTGTGAAAGATTGCATGTTGAAAATTCGGTGACCCTTCTGTCAGGAAGTGTTGCCTGGGCTCAGAGCCAGGCTGGAGTCCAGTGAGAGCTGGGATTGGTCTGAAATGTTCAATTCCAGGAAACTCTTAACTTTGAAAGCAATAAATCTATAGACTTTCCTCCCAGACAGCTGATGCAGTCTGCATCTCTTCCTAATGAGGGCCCAACTTTTCAGTTTTGTTCCAGGAAATCCGTAGCTCATAACTGTTGATGAGTTTGGGCACCAATCCAGAGGGAGTGATGACACCCAGCTCCTTTAGTGAAGTAGATGAAAATGGCAATGTGGTGAACTAGTTTTTCAGTCTTGCCGGACTCTTGCGCTGGTTTAGTGTTAAAGGGTAACAAAAGGGAAGATGGTGGGGCTGGAAAATACAATGGAGGTGGTGCAGGTCAAGATGGGATCCCTGTGCACAATTTATCACAATCCAGAACCGCATTTCTGGAGGCTTTTACATGCAAACTAATCAGTTTAGATTGTGTTCATTGTATTAAATCACAGGGTGCAGCAAGCTATATTGGAACCAAGAAGCTTGATTTACTTATAATTTACTTGTGATTTGTATTTGGGACTAGAAACAAAGCCGTATGAGGAGATACTGAAAGAACTTGGGCACATTTAGCCTTGAGAAGACTGCAGCAAGCCATAGGGGAGAACTAAAAGTACGATAGAAAGGTTGTCACACGGAGGAAGGCCAGGATCGCTTCTGATCATCCCAGAGTGCAGGACATGGAATGACAGGCTCAAGTCCCAGGCAGCCAGATTCTGGCTGAACATCAGGAAGAACTTCCTGGCTGTTTAAGTAGTATGACAATGGAACCTATGACTTAGGGAGGTTGTGGTTTCTTCCACAGCAGAGGCCCTGAAGAGGCAGCTGGCAGCCATCTGTTAAGT